CGTGAATAGTTTTATCAATAGTGTGGCACTCCAAACTCATTGCCCAGCACAGGTAGTCATGAAAACAGCCTTCTTTGGTTCTAACTTTGCATGGGGTGGAGTTACAAACTGTGGAACCTGAGAGGTTAGGAACACTTCTGAGCTAGGATCTCCTCCCCCACCCCATTTTCACTTCCTGAGTTTAGGCTGTAGGTGGAGTATATAATCTTCTTCCCCAGGATCCAGGAGCCCCAAGCTGCCTATTGTTTGTCAGATGCAGAATGAGTGTGTCACAGAGGGTCACCTAGAGCAATGACTACCAACCCGTGAAATGGGGTTTCCTTTACTTTGAGGGCTAAGGAGAAAGGACTTTTAAAAAACAATAACAACAAAAAGTCACAAGAAAAATAAATCACCCCCAATACAGTCCCTCAAAAGTAAAGGCCTTGAATTTCATGAAGTCTTTCATTCTCATTATTTACTCTTACTAATCCAGTTGAAGTATCTGGTTTCCAAAGCTCTAACCTACAACCAGGGCCCCTCCTCTGTAATTCTAAACTAGGCTTGGAAGGTGGACAGGTGACCCAAAGAGCTCCTCTTTGTTCTCCATTTTCACATTCTATTCTGTAGCCTCAGGCACTGAACTAGCTAATCAGCTTGATTTACAACGTGAAACCAGTCTGCCCTCTATATCTGTTACTAACATTTATATAACACATATCCTCAAAGGTGTTTACAGCACACTTTCTGCCATATACCATTTTATTTGTCCTCACAACAGCCACAGACTTTTTTGCTTATTTTTGCTTTTTAATCCTAAATTCATGAAACGTCAAATTAAGGCAAAGAAAAGGTTCAAGTGAGCAGTTTAAGATTATACAACTGGAGTTAGTGGCTGGGCAGGACCGGTAGTCAGAAGTCTTAATACTTACTTCAGAGATTCTTTCATCATCATTTTCAGAAAATACTTAAGTAATAGAAAAGTACTAAGAAGAAAGTATCAATAGTTCTTATTTCTACCACCAGGGTCAAGCACACTTAGCATTCTGGCTATTTACCTCCAGTCTCTCACACCCTCCACACCCCTTTAAAAAATGGCACAAGTAATATGAACATTCATTTTATTAAACAATGTATATGTGAACATTATAGAAAAGCAAAAGTGCCCCTTGACACTTTCTCATCTTGATGTGTCCACTACTCCAGAGGCACCTTTGTAAGTTTGGCAGATATCTTTCCAAATTTGGAAATGTTATATATATGATGATGATGATAGCTGTCAGTGAGTTGATTCCAACTCATGGCAACCTTATGTACAACAGAAGAAACAATGCCTGATCCTGTGTCATCCTCACGATTGCTGGCATCTTCCAGTCCATCAGCTACTGTGCCAGTCCATCTCATCGAGGGTCTCCCTCACTCTCATTGGCTCTCTACTTCACCAAATGTGATTGTCTTCCTCCAGCGATTGATCCCTCCTGATTACATGTCCAAAGCAAGCAAGTCAAATGTTTTGTTGTGATCCATAGGATTTTCATTGGCTAATTTGCAGAAGTAGATGGCCCGGCATATCTTTCCAGTCTATTATTCTGGAAGCTCTGCTGAAACCTGTCTGGTATTCGAGATACCTCTGGCACAGCTTCCAGTATCAAAGTAACATGAAGCCACCAAAGTATGACAAACTGACAGATAAGTGGTGGTACACACACACACACACACACACATATCCATCAGTCGCTACTTGCTTTTTTCCACTAACATTTTGTTTCTGAGATTTATCCATATTTTTATAACTGATGTATTTTTATGGCTGCATAATATTCCATCATATGTATATATTAATGATTTATTCATTTTCTTTTTGATGACCATTTAAATCCTTTCCAATTTTTCACTTTGGCAAGCTCTGCAAGTACATTTCTCCTAGTGCACATATGGACATGTTTTTCTAGGATTGAATCCTAGAAAAGCTAGGCATATTTTTAGTTTTAAAAACTACTTCTAAATTGTCCTGCAAAGAGCCTGCTCCTTACACTTAATATCAGTGTATGAGGGTAACTGCCTCTCCACAACCTTGTAAAAATTCTTCTTTTGAGACTTGTCCAAGTATGATTTTCACAACTTAAAAATATGACTCTCATACAAATATAGAATGTACATGTGTCAAAATTTATTCAACTCATTAATGAGGAAATTTGTAAGATGATAAAAGCTGATCCAAGACTATTTGAGGACCTGGGTTTACATTGTTCATTAAAAAAATTGTTAAAATAAGATTGCTAGGCTAGATATAACACTGGTTAATGTCCTACAGAGCCCTGTTGGTGCACTGGTTAAACACTTGGCTGCTAACCAAAAGGTTGCCGGTTCAATCCCACCAGCGGCTCCACGGGAGAAAGATGTGGCAGTCTGCTTCCATAAAGATTACCGCCTTGGAAACCCTATGGGGCAGTTTTACTCTGTCCTATAGGGTCGCTATGAGTCAGAATCAACTTGATGGCAATGGGTGTGGTTCGGTTTAATATTCTACAGGCAATAAATTGGAACCTTTCAGGTTATCTTTTTTTTTGGGACAAACATTATTTCCACCTCTACCAGGCACAAATCTACAAGTTAACATATAACTTCACAGTGTCTTAGTCCTTCACTAATAGTGACCAACAACATCAAACAATGGTACATTCTCCTAGAAAATTAAGTAATCTTTGGGCCCTTAAATGACACTTCAGTATGACAGTGAAAGGACATAGTCATCCTCTGGCCTTATTTCCAGATTTTGGATAATTTTTCTTAACAGACTTTAAGCATCTTTGTCAATCTAATAGATTAAAAAAATGGCAGTTCATTGTGTTGTCATCTGAATTTCCTGAATTATTAGTGAGTTCTGGGCACCTGTTACTTTTATTTGGCCATCTAGTCTTCTCTAGCTCCAGGTCTCTTTAAACAAATAAACATCACTAATATGAAAAAGACTTTTTTTTTTTTTTTTAGTGATCAGGAATGCCTGGCACAAAGTAAAGAACAGATTCACAAAGTTAGGCCTCTTAGACAAACAGGGCAATGAAGATGTGATTGCCTCTAGTAAAGATTTCACACAGAAAAGAGTGCTAAAAGCGCCAAAATTCTGTGCTTAAGAGTTCTGGAAATGCTGCTCAGCTGCGCAGCTACAGAAAGGGGGGTGTGTGT